GTGTCAGCCTCCTCTTCATAAGGCTGGAGGATCTGTGTGGAGTGGGACCTCGGAAGATGGGCTTGAGTGCGTTGACTGTAAATCTCACTGTTTGGTTTGGCCACCAAGTTAGAGACACCTTGATATGTTTTGTGAAGTTTCCTGCTTGGTGTATACATGACTGCTCTGGGTTTGGCTCTACTCTCGTCTCCTGATCAGGAAGATGCCATCCTGGAGTACTAGTTGCTTGCTGGATTACTGCAGCAGAGGCACAGGCCTGTCGGTGCAGTCTTTCACAGTGGGCATTGTGTGCAATTCTTCCATTGTAATGTGTATTATGTTTTAAAAGCCACTAAAATTGTAAATAGTTACACCCTTGAGTATGTGGGTATGGTTAAAATGCTTTTCTAAAAAACTCTGCAATCTGTTCCAGTATTGTTCCTTTCAGGGTTTTTATATGGTATGGGGTGGAAGTGCATGTGTAATCTAGGAAGGTTCAGTGGAGCCACAAATATTTGTAGATTGCCATGTCGTATGTCTCCTTGTTGTAAATAACAGTAAAGTGAAGAGTAGTTATGGTGCTGGGAAATATGTAACATTTCTAATAGTCTTGCTAACCACCCTCAGGCTAAAGCAAAAAATATATTTTTTTTTTTTTTACTAGCTGTATCCGGAGGGACACGGCTAGCTTTTGTGAGATTTCGTCTGGAGGTGGGGGTCTTATGGGACCCAATACATACTGATGTATGTAAGTAACAGTTACTCTGGAATACCTAATTATATTGAATTTATGGGGACTCAGCACTAAATAGCCCTAAGGGAAGATCACTCTTAGGGACTGAGAGGCAGCTGGGTCAAGCCTGTTTTCTCAGTATAATAGGTTATACTATAGACACACAAACAAACAATTTAAATAAGTAGTTTATAAAGTTGTATTCTTTTGTAAAAGTAAAATAAGTGTGGTAACTAGAGAATTGTGCTTAGCAACAGTCTTTTGTTGTTTTGGTGGGTGTGGGAGGAGCTTAGCTAGGCTCTTCCGTCTCTCTCACTCCTTGTTGGCTTCAAGCTGGTAGGACCTCTGGGTCTTTCTTTTTATTTTTTGGGCATTGTGTGTGCCCCCAGGGTTGAGTTTTATACCTTAAGTTGTAGCCACCATACCCAGGGTGACTAAACTGTCAAAACACTGGTTAGTCCAGAGATTGGTCAAGAAGAAAGAAGGGCAAATTGAGATGCACCATATGGGCTGTTCCTAGGGGAGCGCAGCTAGGGAGTGTGTAGACTTATGTTTTGAATATGTGAGTGCTGTAATTGTATATTCTGTACATATCTATTTAGAATACAGTTCTATTTTTTATATAAGTAGTTTAAATAACTACAGAGACACTGAGGATGATCAATCATTAATGTAAGTATTACCCTAGACTGATAAGGCCATTATGTAAAAGGCTACCCCACACTAGAACATGTAGTGAGAGCCTTACTATCAAAGTAATAAGGGGCAACAACATAACACTTACTAATCATCCCTCTCCCTCTCGCTACCTGATACCCTCGCGTCCTTCCCTGCCCTGCAGCACTGTATAACCCTTGTGGTTTAGCGTTTCTTTTTGATTATTATAATGTTCATTCAACCCCCTCCCCCTCCCATGTGGCCATACCCTTGCTGTACACCCAGCAATAAACCCCTCCCATACCACTTGCCCCTATAAATCCCCTACAGCCACATGCCTTCACCCATACTATGTCTCTAACTCAGTCTTGCCTCTCCCACCCATATACTTCCCTCATAGCCACACACCTTCACACACACCATTCCAACCACCATTCCCTCAAGGCCACATATCCCCCATGACCTCACCCATACATTTTACCTGACCTTTCACCCTAACATGCCATCCACATACCTAATCACATAGTTACCCACCACACTTATTACCACCAGCTGCATAATTGCTCACTAAGTCACCCATCATCCACTCACCTTTTGCTTACACCACAGCTTCAAGCCCACACAGCCCCACACCCCCAACTTACCCATGTTTTCACAGCCCCCACACACAAACATACTGTCTACACTCCCAGTCATGTAGACACCAGCTACCCTAATTGCAGCCCACACCAGCTGCACATGCACACATGCAACCCTCCCCCCCCCCACAAATACACCTACCTACCTACACCTACCTGTTCAGTCACCCATCATCCACACTACCACTTACACTGGGCCACCAACACTCCCACCCACATGGTCGCCATCACGTTACCTTGTTGCATCCAGCCTCCATCCCTACACCCCTCCCAAACTCAACATCATAGGTATGTATGTAAATGAAAAACAACTTGTATATAGAGTTCGCTACTATCTGCGGTTTTTGGTATCCACAGTAGGGCTTGGAATGTCCCCCTTTCCCCCAGCAGATGTGGCAGTTCTACTGTATTCCATAGCTAAGCTGGACCATCTTATGGGTTTACAGATGGCAAGGTTGCTTAAGAAAAAACACCAGCCATTAACCAAAATAAAATGGGTATGAGGATCTAAGCTAGCCTTTACTCAGAGTTCTCTACCATATGAATGACCATCTGGAGTGACCTGGGTGCCAGCAGGATATCAGGGAAGTGCACCCAGAATGTTTGGCAGTGATGAAAAGTCTGATGAAAGATCAGACAGCTTCTAATGATGTATGGTAACTTTCCCTAAGGACCTACTGGAAGATGGTATACTCTAGTTATTTGCAAGTTAATAAATTTTTTTCAATTGTTTTTAGGCATGATTTTGTGCAGTGCTCTAATTGGTTCACCAAGATATATGTACCACTGCTTGACCCGACCCCATATCCTCTTATTTGTCAGCACTGAATTATTGTTTTCCGTAATGAATTAGAGTACTACAATGCAGGCGTTTATTATACAAATTGGTGTGCTATTGATCCTTTTACGAGTATATTACCAAGGTATCAAGCATAGGTGATCTTGTGTTTTTTGTGCCAGGTTGTAATCCTTAGTTTTCTTTATTAAATTGTAAGATTTGTAGTATATTTTCATTCATCCTTAATTACTATTATTATAATTATAACTAAGTGCTAAACCCATAAGGTTCATTCATCTTTGAGCCATATGTATGCTGCCCATGGAGGTGTGGACACTTTTTATATTAGTTTTCTCCTGGAGTAAAAAAATCTGATAGGGTAGTGCAGTAGGCATCCTAAAGGACAATACCTGCCAGAATTAGTACTTTATATCCTAAATGCCCTATGATTATTATTGGCTTTCCCACTTTAGTCCTATACACTAGTAGATTCACCAGTCTTGTCCTGGCCTGGGTCTTTTCCGGATGGTGACTCAGTGGCTTTAGTCCACATTCTTATCTCTTCCTTCTGTTGAAACTAATTTCTTTTAAATATACTACTACTAAGAGCAGGTGGTGGCAACTTATATTGAGGTAATTATCCTATTTTTCTCAATTTCCCCTTTCCTCAACTTCAACCTGTGGGAGTGTAATCACTATGGCTTTACACAATGATCATTTAACCCCAGGCTTGGTGTGGGTTGTCCACTTTATTTCACCATGTCTTCCAATCATTTTTTTTTTTTTTTTTTTTGTGGTTGAAACCACTCATGAACTTCACTTTAGCCCTATGAGCTCTCCTTGCTACTTCTGCTAACGTGTTAACCATTACCAGGTCATTCTCTCTATATTCCTGTCTGTCTTGGTCTCCTATTGCTTGGTGGTGGGATACAAATCACTACCACCACTATTTTGAGTCCCCCAGCCTTGATTGTTCCCGACTCATCAAAACTCCACTAATTTCTAACTAGCAGAGTTACCACTCCTTGCAAGTAGTTTCATTTCTGTTTTAGCTATGATGTCTGGGTTTATTTCTGCTACGCTTTCTATAAACTCATCACTTGTTCAATAATCCATCTGCGTTTGTGTACTCTGTGTAGCTTTTTTTTTTTTTTTTTTTTTTTTTTTTTTTTTTTTTTTTTTTTTTTTTTTTTTTTTTTTTATCATGTTGTAGTTGTCTTTCTGTATGTTAAGCAACAGCCCAAAGTGGGGTAGGTAGGGCTGGGATTGGTATGTGCATCAATATTGAAGGAGTCAGGTGTGACCAGAAAGTTAGGTTACTGGACACACTTTTTGGTCCAAATCAGACTGCCTGACAGCCTTAAGATCAAGAATATCCAAAGCTCACTATGCATGGTGCAGAAATAATGACACTTCAAAATTTGAAGTCAAATTCGCCTCAACACAGTAAATTACTGTAGTTTTAAAGCATTATATTAATAAGATCTGGAAAAAAAAAAAAAAAAAAAACAGGCTACCACTTCAGTTAGGATCATGATGCTGCAACTGAGAACCCTGTTCTAGAGGGTAGTGCACTAACACTGGGAAACTGCACTCTGAAGGCAATACTATTGCACTCACACTATACAATGGAACCTCGGTACTCTAACAGCTCCATACTCGACCAAAGAAACATGACCTGCCAGAACTTTTCTGTAAACTATTTTGCTGTATAGCCCTTGTGGCTTAGCGCTTCTTTTTGATTATAATAATAATGTAAACTATTTCATGTTTCTTTGCATTTTTTGGCATTTTATATTTGTATAAATAAGTCACCATGGGGTCCAGGAAGATTAGTGATAACAACCAACCAAAAAGAAATTTGATTGGGATTTATAATCATGGGGGGAAGGGCTAAGCCCATAGGATTATACAGCACCTGGGAGGGGGGGATGGAAGATATTCAGGCTTAATTCAGGTAACTGGAGCACAGATCCAGTTCCCTAGATCAAGAGCCCCTTACCAACATCAAGGAATCTTCTTTGAGGGGAATTTGGTTAGGAAAAAATTTGTTTGACACTTGAATAGATCGGCACTGGAACAGCCTTCTGGAATTAAGTTTGAGTACCGAAGTTCCACTGTACTAACAAGTCATTCAATGACACCATATAAAATCTTCCTCTAAAATAATGCAAATTAAATGTAGGATATTTACAACATAAATGACTTAGCAACATCAGGTACAAATTCATTTATTGAAAATATTTTGCATGTAGCAATTCTAATGATTTCAAAATACATCATTAGATAACTTGTCAAAGATAAACCTACCCATTAACTTGGTATTCAGGAAATAAATTTTCATGCTTTGTGAATCTATTAGGCATACTCGATTTGAAAGAAAATATAACATCCTCTCTTATCCCTGAACATATTTGAACATATTTAAAATTATTTGAACATGCTCTACTTGAAATTATTTGAACATACTAGGGAAAGTAATATAGTTATACAAACACAAAATAAATATCAAGGCTTAGAAGAAACTATACGTATATATATATATATATATATATATATATATATACATATATATTATTTACCTCTTCTAGTCTAAACTTAAAATGCTGCTACAAGCCCAATTCAGATAGATCAAGCCTAACATTACTAAAGCCAAATTGTATAGCTAGCTGCCATTCTTGCAGCAAAGGCAGAAACATATGCATCTCATACCTCTCACCTGGGGTACAGAGGAAAAAAAAATAGATAGCATATTTTAATTTCCAAGCTTCATATAAAACTTTTATAATTACTGTATGTCTCAATTTATTAATGATGAATTTGGCTGTGTAATAACTGCTGATACTATGTTTATACACTACTTTTTGTATAAAATCAACTTATCCCCGAGATGTGCAAGGAACATCCATTTCCTACAATTTTAAAAAATTGTGAAAAAACCTTGCCAACTAGCAGTCAGAAAATACTATACAGAAATTATACAATGACAGAAATTCTCCTAAAATACACATCAATTATTATTTAATAGATATTAAAAGTCCCAAGTTATATCATCACTTAAACACATTTGTTCTAAACTTTTTTCTAGCAGGTCTGGAATAGTGTCTCCTGAAAAGAAAACAAAAACAGTTTGAAGATTTTATATGTATATACAGCGCTGTATAGCCCTTGTGGCTTAGCGCTTCTTTTTGATAATAATAATATATGTATATATATAATATGTATGTATATATATAATATATATACTACGACCACTCGACTTACGACCGTGTTTTTTATGCCAAATTTCTGGGAAATAAACTATTTGTGTTGTACACAGTGTTTATCCTAAACCTTACAGTATAAAATACAGTACTAGCAACATAAAAAGTAAAGTAAAACATGAAATACCAAAATAAAACAATAAAATAAAATGTTTTGTTGATATTCAGTAGTAAAGTTCGACTTACGACCAGTTTCTCGGAACCGAACTCGGTCGTAAGTCGGATGGTAGGTGTGTGTGTGTATATATATATATATATATATATATATATATATATATATATATATATATATATATATATATATAATGTGTGTGTGTGTGTCGTGCCGAATATGTAAAACTGGTCAATTTGCAAAAACTCATTTAAAATTAAGTCCTTTCTAAAATTTTCTCTTATACATTTAAAGATATATTTTTTTCATTAATGTTGATGTAAAAATTTATAATTTTGCACCGAAAGGAACTTAGAAAACTTACCTAACCTTATTATAACAAGTGCAATTTATTTTAGCCTAACCCAACTAAATATATTATAGATTTGTTTACAATAATTTAATTCTAAACAAACACAGTGAAATATATTTTTTTCGTTAGGTTCAGAGTGATTTTGGCGAAATTATTGCATACACAAATTTTCACTTGTCCTATATGGCAAGATGAGCGTTGCTATTTAAGCCAAGATCACAAGTTCTGCCTATTCGGCACGACATTATATATATATATATATATATATATATATATATATATATATATATATTACAGCAGGGCCCTGCTTTACGGCGTTTCACTTTACGGCGTTCCGCTAATACGGTCATTTCAAATTATGACCAAAACTCGCTATACGGCTCCCCCCACCTGACTTTCTAATACGGTCACCGCGCCCCACCCTGTTTGTTTACATTCTTCGTGAGCTCAGTAAGCACTAAGTCTCTCCATTTTGTCTGGAAACTCCAAAATTTCAAATGTTTTTAAAAGTTATTTCATATTTTATATATACTCTGATAATTATACTTATATATACCTGTACTTAAATAAACTTACATACTGTGCTGGCATGCAGGTACACATTAAAATCAGTAAGAGTGTCTTATGTCTCCAAACGTCATATTAGTAATGATAACAATAATCATCGAGTCTCATTTAAATGTCGTATATTACGTTAAATACACATTTTCATTAATCCATCTATGATATTTTTTCAAAATTATATAATAAACATGATACATAACATAAAAAGATGATAAATACACCCCACAGTAGAATAAATAAACATAAATATGAGATGTGGTAGCAGACGACTTGCACAAGTGACGCCATATTAGAAATGATAATAATAATAATCACCGAGTCTCATTAAATGTTAATATACACATTTTCATTTATCCATCCATGATATTTTTTTCAAAATTATATAATAAACACGATACATAACATAAAAAGATGATAAATACACCCTACAATAGAATAAATAAACAAATATGAGATGTGGTAGCCAGATAACTTGTACAAGTGACGCCAAGAATAACATTTTTCTAATCTAACATAAGAGAAAATGTGTTACTGGGGATAACTGTAGAAAATTATTCCTTTCGTATGTATGTAAGTTTATTCAGGTATACACAAATACAGTTACATAGATTATCATACATAACATATGTGTAGAGAACCTAGGATAACCCAAAAAAGTCAGAGTGACTTATTTCCACTGCCTTCACTCAGAGCATCATTTCTTCTCAAAATGATGTTACATGACAATGGGAGTGTTCTTCTTTATTTATTCTACCGTATCAATGTAGAGACAACCTGTACACAATGTAACTTGTACACAAACCAGACGTGTACACGTTGTTTACAAAACTTACCTTCGCCTGGTTTGTTTATATAACTCTGCGCCTGTCCTCTCTCATGCACTCATTCTTTCTATCTCTCATTTATTCGTTTTATCTCATTTACTTACTCCTGACCCTACATTAAGACTACAAATATTTTAAGGTAAGTAATGAGTGAACTGTATATACATTTTATCGCTCTGGGATGCTTAAATGTAATAGAATATTATGTGTAGGTGGGTTGGCCTGGTATGGTAGCCCGGCTGACTACCATACATACCACACTTGATTTCTTAAAATAAATACTACTTGTCTCACCCTAGATTAAGACTATAAATATTTTAAGGTAAGTAATGAGTGCACTATGTGTGTATTGTACTTTTTTATTGTTTTTTGATGCCTGGTTCTATTGCTAACTTAATATATGTTAGTGTAAACTTGTTATCTAGTGTTTGTATGCATTTGTAAGTGGAAAAAAAGGGTGTTCCACTTTACGGCGGTTTCCGCTTTACGGCGGTAGCCTGGAACCTAACCAGCCGTATAAGTGTAGAGGAGAGAGAGAGATTTTGGGAAATGTTGAGTGAATGCGTGGGGAGTTTTGAATCAAGTGTGAGAGTAATGGTGGTTGGGGATTTCAATGCTAAAGTGGGTAAAAATGTTATGGAGGGAGTAGTAGGTAAATTTGGGGTGCCAGGGGTAAATGTAAATGGTGACCTTTAATTGAGCTATGTGTAGAAAGAAATTTGGTAATAAGTAATACATACTTTATGAAAAAGAGGATAAATAAATATACAAGGTATGATGTAGCACGTAATGAAAGTAGTTTATTAGATTATGTATTGGTGGATAAAAGGTTGATGGGTAGGCTCCAGGATGTACATGTTTATAGAGGGGCAACTGATATATCGGATCATTATTTAGTTGTAGCTACAGTTAGAGTAAGAGGTAGATGGGAAAAGAGGAAGGTGGCAACAACAAGTAAGAGGGAGGTGAAAGTGTATAAACTAAGGGAGGAGGAAGTTCAGGTGAGATATAAGCGACTATTGGCAGAAAGGTGGGCTAGTGCAAAGATGAGTAGTGGGGGGGTTGAAGAGGGTTGGAATAGTTTTAAAAATGCAGTATTAGAATGTGGGGGCAGAAGTTTGTGGTTATAGGAGGGTGGGGGCAGGTGGAAAGAGGAGTGATTGGTGGAATGATGAAGTAAAGGGTGTGATAAAAGAGAAAAAAGGTAGCTTATGAGAGGTTTTTACAAAGCAGAAGTTTTTATAAGAAGAGCAGAGTATATGGAGAGTAAAAGAAAGGTAAAGAGAGTGGTGAGAGAGTGCAAAAGGAGAGCAGATGATAGAGTGGGAGAGGCACTGTCAAGAAATTTTAATGAAAATAAGAAAAAAATTTGGAGTTAAAGAAGTTAAGAAAGCCTAGGGAAAATATGGATTTGTCAGTTAAAAACAGAGTAGGGGAGTTAGTAGATGGGGAGATGGAGGTATTGGGTAGATGGCGAGAATATTTTGAGGAACTTTTAAATGTTAAGGAAGAAACAGAGGCAGTAACTTCATGCACTGGTCAGGGAGGTATACCATCTTTTAGGAGTGAAGAAGAGCAGAACGTAAGTGTGGGGGAGGTACGTGAGGCATTACGTAAAATGAAAGGGGGTAAAGCAGCTGGAACTGATGGGATCATGACAGAAATGTTAAAAGCAGGGGGATATAGTGTTGGAGTGGTTGGTACTTTTGTTTAATAAATGTATGAAAGAGAGGAAGGTACCTAGGGATTGGCAGAGAGCATGTATAGTCCCTTTATATAAAGGGAAAGGGGACAAAAGAGACTGTAAAAATTATAGAGGAATAAGCTTACTGAGTATACCAGGAAAAGTGTACGGTAGGGTTATAATTGAAAGAATTAGAGGTAAGACAGAATGTAGGATTGCGGATGAGCAAGGAGGTTTCAGAGTGGGTAGGGGATGTGTATATCAGGTGTTTACATTGAAGCATATATGTGAACAGTATTTAGATAAAGATAGGGAAGTTTTTATTGCATTTATGGATTTAGAAAAGGCATATGATAGAGTGGATAGAGGAGCAATGTGGCAGATGTTGCAAGTATATGGAATAGGTGGTAAGTTTTTTAAATGCTGTAAAGAGTTTTATGAGGATAGTGAGGCTCAGGTTAGGGTGTGTAGAAAGAGGGAGACTACTTCCAGGTAAAAGTAGGTCTTAGACAGGGATGTGTAATGTCACCATGGTTGTTTAATATATTTATAGATGGGGTTGTAAAGGAAGTAAATGCTAGGGTGTTCGGGAGAGGGGTGGGATTAAATTTTGGGGAATCAAATTCAAAATGGGAATTGACACAGTTACTTTTTGCTGATGATACTGTGCTTATGGGAGATTCTAAAGAAAAATTGCAAAGGTTAGTGGATGAGTTTGGGGAAAGTGTGTAAAGGTAGAAAGTTGAAAGTGAACATAGAAAAGAGTAAGGTGATGAGGGTGTCAAATGATTTAGATAAAGAAAAATTGGATATCAAATTGGGGAGGAGGAGTATGGAAGAAGTGAATGTTTTCAGATACTTGGGAGTTGACGTGTCGGCGGATGGATTTATGAAGGATGAGGTTAATCATAGAATTGATGAGGGAAAAAAGGTGAGTGGTGCATTGAGGCATATGTGGAGTCAAAAAACGTTATCTATGGAGGCAAAGAAGGGAATGTATGAAAGTATAGTAGTACCAACACTCTTATATGGGTATGAAGCTTGGGTGGTAAATGCAGCAGCGAGTAGACAGTTGGAGGCAGTGGAGATGTCCTGTTTAAGGGCAATGTGTGGTGTAAATATTATGCAGAAAATTCGGAGTGTGGAAATTAGGAGAAGGTGTGGAGTTAATAAAAGTATTAGTCAGAGGGCAGAAGAGGGGTTGTTGAGGTTGTTTGGTCATTTAGAGAGAATGGATCAAAGTAGAAATGACATGGAAAGCATATAAATCTAGGGAAGGAAGGCGGGGTAGGGTCGTCCTCGAAAGGGT